GCTGCTGTTTGACAAGAAGACTGGCTCATTCGGTGTGGAGACTGTCACACACAACAGGAGTGAGTTTATCTTGCCTTAAAACCTGAGTTACTTCAGTCTCCATTTTTATCATACAAGGATAGTAAATGCCATCTAATGCTTTTATGTTTTAGTCGTGCAGTTGGTGAAGATTCAGAGAGGCCTTACCAAGCTGAAAATGGTCATAGACAGTCATCACAATCCACCGAGAGAACTTTTGTTTGAAAGCATGAAGGTGAGGAGAAAGACTTGGATTGGCTTACCTTAAATGGTCTATATCTGATGTACTGATGTGTCTCCCACAGAAACGAAATGCTTTCTGTCGGCTGCTGCAGCTTATGAAAGCTGCTCACTCCCAGCAGTCTGAGCTTGATGTCATCTCTGTGTTTGTGGGCACCTGGAATATGGGTATGGATATACAGTATATCATTAATAAACGATATTATGGCCTCAACAGTTGCAGCAAACGTTTCATTGTTGTTTCTGTATTTTGCCTTCAGGGGGCACTCCACCACCCGGTTCACTTCAGTCCTGGGTTACTTGCTGTGGTCTGGGCCTCTCCCCAGACGAGTCCATCGCCTCCCTGCCTCATGATATCTATGCAGTGGGCACTCAGGACAACCCGCAGGGCGAGAGAGAATGGGCTGAACACATCAGAGCCACGCTTCGGAGTGCAACCAACATTGACTTCAAACAGGTCTGACTTTATCAAAATGTTCATAGCCCAGAACGCTTCTTCTTCTTCTTATGTGATCACATATTAATCATTTGATTGGATGACAGTAAAGTGTGTTAAATTGGTGAGAGTAGATTGTGAGTGTGTTTTTGTGTTTCTCCTGTAGGTGGCATTACAGTCCCTTTGGAATATCAGACTGGCTGTGTTTGTGAAACCAGAGCATGAAGGATGCATCAGTCAAGTAAACACAGCTAGTGTTAAAACTGGCCTGGGGAACACACTCGGTACAAATCTCTCTTGCTCAAACAAACCAATAAACACACTCACTAACATTTCTTTTTTTCTGTTTTCTCGCCTCCTTTAGCTTCTCCTTTATATTCTCTCACCTCACCTCTTTTAGCCAAGCAAAACAAATCAAGTGACAAATAAATCGTACCGAAATTAATATATTCTTTAGATTTTTTTTCTTTTTTCTTTGTGGTTACAGGAAATAAGGGAGCAGTAGGAGTTTCTCTTCTCTTTAATGGCACCTCAATGGGCTTTGTGAACTGCCATCTGACTTCTGGTAGTGATAAAGCACTCAGGTATTCACACATATCTTTAAAATAGAGCAGTGGATTTCAAACGTCATGACGTACCAACAGTACAAATTGCAGACCACATATCAACCCAAATATACTTTACAAAAAAGTAGGGCACAAATTATCCTTAAGGCTGGAATACATTACACAACTTTTAAAATCTGAGAACCATC